TAATATCAACTCAATTACTGGGACATAATGTCACCATGGCTACAGTAGAAAATGTTGGAAAATAATCCTGTGAAATCTTTGAACCATTACTACTATGTTGTTGTTTTGGATTATGCTGTATAATCTTTATTTTCACATGAGGTAATTAGCGTGTGCTGTTTGTTTCTGAAGTGGGCAGCCAGCAATTAACAGGAACAGGCCCCAGCTAGAAGTAGGTTGTTTTTTCTTCTTTCCAACAGCCAGCTATGGTGTAGCATGTGACATTTCCTCTCTAGATTGTCACATCCAGCAAATGTTCTTCATTTCTTTTGCTCTGATGCCCCCAGGCCCCAGGTGACTACATCTTGGAAGAACTCTGAATAACAGGGCTAAAATTCTGTGGCAGCAACTAAGTCTCACCAGGTGGCTCCCTGCCTACTACATAGAAAACTCATTTGGCACCAAAACTCTATCAAATCTAGATTTGAGCTCCTGCTATACCCTGGACAAAGAGCATCAGCAAGTTTTTTTCTTAGGATATAAACAATATTTTCACTCCAGCGACTTTGGACTTGGCATCAACTACTTTTTAGTTTTGACTGCAATTTTAGTCTAAATAGTCCCATGAATTCTGGCTCCACTCTCCTTTCATTCTAATCCCACAGAGCCGAGATCAGACCCTGGAGTCTCTCCTTACTGGCAACCCAGACTTAAACTTTGGAAACTATGGGAAATTCCATTATTTGGGCCCAAAGATCTGCTGACTTCAACATACAAGAGTTTTCCCTGCAAAGTAGAAATGACATTAGGGTAATATGAAAGGAAGAATAATGGAAATAGTCCTTTATGTGTGAATGATATTTTACTACTTGCAAAATTATTTTGTTTATTAACTTGTTTTTCCTCCTAATATTCCCCAGATATTCCACTGGCAGAGTAGTTAATGGATCTATACTTAAGTCTGAATCCAGATTCCAATATTCATAGCTATGTGCTATTCCAATATCAACTCTCAGTGCCTCAGTTTCCTCATTTATAAAATTTAGACTACTTAGCTCATAATTTTTTTGTGAAGATGAAATAAGATAATATATACAGCAATTAGAATAGGGCATGGCAAAAGTTGTTAGCTGGGTACAGTGGTACATTCCTATAATCTCAGCTCCTTGGGAGGCTGAGGTGTGAGGATTGCTTGAGCCCAGGGAGTTCAGGGCAGCCTGGACAATACAGTGAACCCCTGACTTTAAAAAAAAAGAAAAAAAGTCATTGTTGTTTGTTGTTGTGTAAGAAAACCAAGGCTCAGAGAAATTAAAGGGGTCACTGGATCTGAGATTCAAACTCAGATTCATCTTACATTGTACCTATTCTGTTTACTCTATCTCAGCTCTCTCTGAAATCAATACCTTGTGTTGTATACAGGTAGCTTTGATCCTTTAGAATTCCAGACCTCTTTCTCTACTCATTATTTAAAGTTCCATATGAAGAGACAAAAGGAATGCAAGGTTTATTATCTCTCTAAAGTGTCACAACAAAGCCCTAGTGACAAAAATCACAGTGTACCTTTGAGCACATGCAGATGCCTTCTTGGAGAAGCAGTGTGCCATCCTCCCCATATCATCTTACCCCTTTACTGAGTTCCCTGTGGAATTTAACTTAGGTGGTCAGAGATTCTGGAATTAGAAAAATAAAAGTAGTAGTGCTAGGGATATAGTAGGCACTCTTGGGGCTTAGGGAAGCCTCACAAGTGATAGAGAGGAAGAATAATTGAGAGGCAGGGATTTCTTACAAGACAGGGAAACCTTAGTGTGTACATCCTTATCTGTTGCATTGGCTGTGTCAGGGAGCTGTGCTAATTCCTTAATTTCATCTCAAATTAATGGCAGAGGTCCTTCTCATTATGCCTATTATTGATGTATCCTCTGAATTATCTCATTATTTAACTTGAGCCTCTTCATACCCACCTAGGTTCCAGGAGAAGTGGGAATAGGGAAGGATAATAGATTCGAGAAATATTTGGGGGCTGGGGATGTGGCTCAAGTAGTAGCGCGCTTGCCTGCGGCCCGGGTTTGATCCTTAGCACCACATACAAACAAAGATGTTGTGTCCGCCAATAACTAAAAAATAAATATTAAAATATTCTCTCTCTCTCTCTCTCTCTCTCTCTCTCTAAAAAAAAAGAGAAATATTTGGGAGAAATATTTCATTGTAACCATAACTTTGTGAATAATCAAGACAGATATTAGCATCATTAGTCTATGGAAGAGAAGTAGTTTGCACAAGGCCATAAGATAAACAACAAAACTTGCATTCTGGTCTTTTGCTTTCAAGCAGAGATATCCCAACACACCATGAATCTTCCCCATGCAGGTAGGAGAATAGTCCCAATGACTAATAGCAGAACTGAGCCTGGTACAAGGGCAATGGTACTAAGTGTTGGGCATTTTACTTGAGAAGAGATACTACAGATTGAATAAGCTTCCTTTCCCATATGCAAGGAACAATATTTTCCCTTTTAATAATTCTCTATGTTATTTCTACTTCATTTAGGCTACCATTTGGAAGCAATGAGTTTAAAACCTTTTACCTACCCATTTCCAGAGACGAGGTTTCTTCACGCAGGACCCAACGTGTACAAATTCAAAATCAGATATGGCAACAGCATCAGGTAATTTTCAAGATAGGAGGGTAGCCTGTGTAAGCCCAAATTAGTATATTCTTCCAGGCTCATCCCCTCTTTGTCTTCATTCTGTTCAGGAGACTGCCATCCAGTTGTTAGATTAGCATATTATAGGATTCTCTGTTATGGTTTGGATCTAATAAAAAGTACCTAACTGAGTAAAAGGCAACCCACAGCATGGAAAAAAATATTTGCAAATCATATATCTGATCAGGGCTTAATATTCAAAATATATAGAGAACACTTACAACTAAACAACAGAAAAATAAACAATCCAACTAGAAAACAGACAATGGGCTTGAATAGGCATTTCTCCAAAGAAGATATACAAATGGCCAGCAGCTTATGAAAAGATTCCCAATATCATTAATCACTGGGGAACTACATATCAAAACCACAATATACCTGCCAGCATGGCTAAAAAAAAAAAAAAAAAAAAAAAAAGCAGAAGGTAACACTGTTGGCAAAGATGTGAAAAAATTTGGAACCCTTGTAAATTGCTGGTGGGAATGTAAAATGGTGCAGCTGCTATAGAAAACAGATTGGCAGTTTATCAAAAATTTAAAACATAATTACCATATGACCAGCAATTATACTCCTAGAATTGAAAACAGAGACTCGGACAACTTGTAAAATGGTGCTTATAGCAGCATTGGTCACAGTAGCCAGAAGGTGGAAACAACCCAAGTGTCCATCAGTGAATAAATGAATAAAAAAATGGTATATATGCACAATGGATTATCTGTAGTCCATAAAAAGAAATTGCAAAAAAGAATGAAGTTGTGATATATGTATAAGGAGGATAATTTTTGAAGCATATGCTAAGTGAAAAAAAAAGGACAAATATTGTATGATTCCATTTGTATAAAATGGAAATTCAGAGACAGAAAGTAGATTAGAGGACATGGGGGCTGGGAGGAGGGAAGAATGGAGACTTAGTGCTTGAGCAGTGTTTCTGCTTGGGATGATAGAAAATTTTGGAAATAGTAGTGATGGTCATACTGTTTCCGAAAGCTCAATCTTTGTCCCCAGTGCCAATCCAATAACAAGGATACATTTTTTTAAAACATTTATTCTCCAGATGTAGGTGGACACAATACCTTTATTTTATTTTTATGTGTTGCTGAGGATCGAACCCAGTGCCTCACGCATGCTAAGCAAGCTCTCTACCACTGAGCCACAATCCCAGTCCCAAGGATACAGTTTTGAGAAAAAGGAAAAAGATTTATTGCTTTGCTAGTAAAGGAGAAACACAGGGACTCCTGTCCCAAAGGTTGTGATTCTGCCCATCAGCAGGAACAGGGGGTTTTTAAAGAGGTGACTTAAAAGCTATATTCCACACTTCTCTGTGGGAGTTGTAATTCACTTGTTAATTTGGGAGATAGTCATTTCTGATATCTTCTGGTGCCATCCCCCAAATCTGGATTACTTCATTCCTGTGGTGAGTGTGTACTCTGGGACAGATAACTCTACCTGGGATGGGAAAAAGGTAATCTTATCTCCCTTGAGATTAGGGAGGGGGAGAGATCAGGGAGGAGAGGGGAGAAAGGAAAAGAAAGAAATGTCTATTTTTAAAATAAGTTGCAGGGGCAGGGCAGCAGGGACTATATTCAAAGCATAAAATGGACCACTGTTACAATACCACATTATAGAAGTGATACCAGTGAGTTATATGCTTCAAAATGAATAAATGGTAAATTTGTTAAATGTATTAATTTTAAAATGATATATCCATGAAATTTTCATGTGTTTTTATTTTAAAATATTTTCTAAAGTGAAAAAAAAATGGTGAGAAGATTGGCATCATTTTACATTTCTGCAAATATATTAGTGTCTGAGCCTGTTAGCTGTATTACCATATCTACTTCCACATTCAGTCTGTTGCATTGTTTTTGTTGATATTAAAAAAAAAGACCAACTCATAAGTTTGTAGTTGGGAAAGGTAGGTAGAAACATAATAATAGCCCTTTCAAATCATCATAGATATTCTTCTTTGATCCTACATCTAAACTTGATTGAGTTGGGGTATATAGCATGCACAGGGCTCTGAGTTCCATCCCCAGCACCACAAAACAAAAACAAAAACATGGACAAGTGGTATTTTGTGGTTTTTTCAAATGGTAGGGTATTTTTCCCCCTAATGTTAGTTGCAATGTGAAATCTGAAATTATAACAGTGAACTTTTTGAACTCTTATGTTAAAATCCATTGGCCTATCTTGTTTTTTTTTTTTTAGAATGGATGTTGTATTTAGCATGATATTATAATATGATGAATTCCATTGGTCATTTGGTATTTTTTTAAATATTTTTTTAGTTTTAGATGGACATAGTACCTTTATTTTATTTGTTTATTTTTCTGTTGTGCTGGGGATCAAACCCAGTGCCTCCCGCAAGCAAGGCAAGTGCTCTCTCTACCACTGAACCACAACCCCGGCCCCTAGAAAGTTTTGATTCACCGACCTCCTCAGATCTTCCAAAAGTTGACACATTTCATTATATAATATAAAAAAAAATAATGTCACTACCAATCTTATCAGATTGACACTGTCAAACTTACAATGGTGAATAGAAGTTTTCCAAAATTCAAAATTTCTCTTGAGAGCCCCAGATATACCATTGACAACAAATACTGTCAGTTGTTTCCCTTGAGTTGACATACTTACTTTATTCATTTTTGAGAAAATGTCTATCAAACTCCCAAGTCTGAATAACAACCATAGTTTGTTTGTTAGCTGATCATTCAAGTAAAATAATTTCATGGAAAAAGCAGCTCATTCAGTTTGACAACTTAAAGAATCACATGAGGGGCTGGGGATGTGGCTCAAGAGGTAGCGCGCTCGCCTGGCATGCGTGCTGCCCGGGTTCGATCCTCAGCGCCACATACCAACAAAGATGTTGTGTCCGCCGAGAACTAAAAAATAAATATTAAAAATTCTCTCTCTCTCTCCTCTCTCACTCTCTCTTTAAAAAAAAAAAAAAAAGAATCACATGAGTGCTTTTCCTCAAGTCAGCCATTATATATTGATGGTATATTCTGGTAAGCAAAAGAAAAACTTTATGCATACTTCCTGTGTTATCACATAACATGTTTTAAAAGGTACTGTCATGTACTGTGTATGTGTCAAAAAGCTAAAAGAAGTTATTTTGAATGTTTTCTCTATAAATAAATGATAAATGAAGAGATGGATATGTTTACTCTGACTTAAACACTGTACAACCCATACATGTATCAAAATGTCACATAAGTACAATTTTTGTTTTTATATATCAGCTAAAATAAATTTATATAAGTTTGAAGATAAAAAAAGAGATGTAGTCAAGGGTTGAGGTTTTCTATAATTATTTTTTATTGCTTTCTCAAGGGTATTACAGGAAACTGGATTTTTTTCTCCCATGTGGCAGTAATAATTACTGTGATTGCTGGTACAGCTTAGTGCAGCTAGCTAGATTTGTGCCAGAGCACCAGCAGTTTTGTCACTGTTGCTTTTGCATTAATGTAGGAATGAAAAATTGTAAAGGCAAATAACAGTTTAGTAGTAGTATAAAAGTAGATTTGCTCTTAGACACACCTCAAAAAGTTTTGAGGACCCCTAGGACCCCCCAAACCACACTTGGAGGGCAACTGGACTAATGAATTATTAGCTGTCACAGCAGGGATTTCAGATCTCGGCAGGTCAACCAAGAAGACATTTTGGTACAACTTTTTACCATGCTCAGACCACACCACCTAGGTGATCACTTCTTCCCCCTGAGCAACAGCCTCAGCACACACAATTGTTATGTATTCATGTCTCTTCAGCTATTTAAAGAGTAGACCAAAATCTGTTCTTGCCAGACCTTTCCTTGTTAGTCATCATTTATCTGTTTACCTTCTAGAGGAGAAGAGATAGAAAATAAGGACGTCATCGTCCAGGAGCTGGAGGTGAGGAAAGAAGCAGACAACTTCTGGGAAAGTTATTCTTTCCTCCAAGGATACATCCACATCCAGACTTCTAATTATTTCCTACAAACTGAGTCACAAACTCCACTTGATAACTTGGCTTCTCCTCCTACGTTTCCTCTGCAAAGAGACTTTACTGTTTTTCTAGGAAAATTTAAAGCCCATATCCTTTCTCAATTCTAGTTGAATTGTCAGCACCTTTGAGGCTGAGAGTTACTTTGTTTCCACCAGAGTTCCCAGACACACACACACCCTTTTGTGGGGGCTGGCACATAGAAGACTTCAGGAGCCCTGCCACCTTCCAGGACTCTGGGAAACCTTATCCCAACCACTGCCTGGTACTTGACGTCCAGGAAATTCAACTGTAAATACATAGATAAGGTTGCTGTCTTTATTTTAATTAGAAACATTTGCAGTTGCTTTATTCCCATTTCATTTTCATTTCTTTTCTACCCAGCTCCTCTAGTTTTAGGCTTTCCAGCCAAAAGACAACTGAGCAGGTGGGCAGTTTTGTAAATTGGTGAAAGCATTGGATGAGTTGGAATTCTGGGGGCTTTAGAGTCTAGTCCTGCTTTAGTCACACTAATAAACAGTGTGACCCTTGGCAGATCATTTGCCAATCTGGATTCCAATTGCCTCATCTGTAAAACAAGAGGTCAGAACTCATTTATCCTCTTCTAACTTCAGAACTCAGGGATTTAGGACAAGTGACTTACTAAGATATACTTCCACATTGCAAAGAATTATAATATATTAAATGCACTTTACCACAGAACTCCAAGAAAGCATATCTTTAAGTCATAGCCTTAAAAGTTCCTGTGGCTCTCAAACTACATGTTAAAAGATACATTAGGATTTTACAAGGCCTCAAGGACATCATTATAAATAACAGTTATTTCCATATATAACCGTGAAATTTTTCTGCTTTTTAAAATTCTGAGCAGAGCAAACTTTATGTTACTTTGCTTCAGTTAATTTGGACAGAGAAAAGCTCAAGACAGCATAGTGGGTGGAGGGAGCACAGACTTGAGAACCTGAATTTGAAATCTAGTTGTTCTATTCAAACATAGGTATGTGACTTGAGGCAAGTTACCTACTCTTTCTAAGTCTGTTCCCTTACCTATCAAATAAGGTTAATAAGTGATGCCTATTTTCAAGATTGTGATAAGGATTAGGAATAGATGTATGCAGTGCCTACCAGCAGCCCTTTAAGTAGTAGCCAGAGAGTATTTACATATATTTCTATATTGTATTAAGAATCTCAGGGGGGGCTGGAGATGTGGCTCAAGTGGTAGTGCGCTCGCCTGGCATATGTGCTGCTTGGGCTTAGATCCTGGCTCCATCATTTCCAACTGGGTAAATCTTTTTTTTTTGTTTGTTTGTTTGTTTGTTTTTAAAACACACTCTGCCAAGTTTTATTAAAGAAAAATTTTACACGTTTTACTTTTCACTAGTCTGTTCTGGCATGCTTCTAATGATATCAGAATCACCTAGAAAATAAAAACAGTAATTTTACAATACATTTAATGGCAACTGGTAGTAATAAAATTTCTGTATTTTGTTTACATGTTCTTTTAGACAAGTCTGCAACTTAGTATTGATTATTTGCAAGTTACCCCACTAGCTGTACTATCATTTTTCAAAAGGTGGATCAAGATAATGTAGAATCATAGTCATAATATGGTAATACAAAATGGTCATATTGTAAATCAAATTGGGTTTATCACCAGCACTTATAAAACCAGACCCAGGGAAAGAACTAGGTCTGGGGACACCGTGCATGGCCTTAATATAGCGAATGTTTAGCCTGCCCTGATTATTACAAAAATCAGAACAGCGAGAATGTTCGCAGACCAACTGGGTAAATCTTGAATAAGTGTTTTTCACCTCTCTTTATCTCTGTTTCTTTATCTGTAAAATGGGAATAATAGAGCTGCCTATCTCATAGAGAGTTTATGAGTGTTAAGTTGATACATATATATAAACAATCACCTGCCATAGTAATTATTGAATAAAATTAGCTGTTATAAGCAAGACACCATGCTCCTACAGAGAATACAAAGATAAACAACAACAGTTCCTTTTTTTGGGGGGATGAGGGGTACCAGAGATTGAATCCAGGGGCACTTAACCACTGAGCCACATCCCCAGTCTTTTATATATATATATATGTTTTTTTTTTTTTTTTGAGGCAGGGTCTCACTAAGTTGCTTAGAGCCTTGCTAAGTTGCTGAGGCTGGCTTTGAACTTGTGAGCCATCTGCCTCAGCCTCCCAAGTCACTGGGATTATAGGTGTGCATTACTGCGCCCAGCCAATGACACAGTTTCTTACTTCTGAGAGCCCAAACAGGAGGAAAATGAGGTTTGGAGAGGTGAAATGACAGAACTGGAACTGAAATTCACTTTTTTTTTATAAGAGAGAGAGAGAGAGAGAGAATTTTTTAATATTTATTTATTTTTAGTTTTTGGCCGATACAACATCTTTGTTTGTATGTGGCGCTGAGGATCGAACCGGGGCCACACGCATGCCAGGCAAGCGCACTACTGCTTGAGCCACATCCCCAGCCCTCACTTTTTTCCTGTAGAAATCCAGCAGTCTTTTTATAATATCCAAGTGTTTAATTAGCATAAACTAATAATCACCGTTAACTAGAAACTAATCAATTAAGATTTAAAGAGAGTAGAAGAAAAGGTTTGATTTAAGCAGAAGCAAAATAACTATATATTGATAAATATTGGTATTATTCATTTGCATATCCATTTGTTAAGAACTTGTTCTGCATCACCTCCTATGGTAGATACCGGAGAAGGGATGCTAAGATAAATCAGTTGTGTATTCAACTTCAATTAGATCTCCCATTAAGGAAAATAAAACATGTGTATGATGTATGTGAAATGTAATAGAGGCCCCAGGCTAACTACTGTTAAGTTTGGGACAACCGTTAATTACAATTTGAGAAAGCTTTCTGGAGGAGATAACTTTTGAACTGTACCTTACAGGAAAGGTAGGATATGTACAGGTGTACTGATGGGTAGAGAGCCCATTTCAGGCAGAGGGAACAGGAAAAGGACAGAAGTGGAGAGACAGAAGGCACATTTAGGGAATAGAAAATAATTCAGTTTTGTTAGAAGACAGGGTATGTGAGAAGCAGTGAAAAATATAAATGGAAAGATTGGATGAGATTTGACAGTATTGAAGTCATTTCACATATCTTTTTCAGGATTCCATCCGTGCAGTCTTGGGAAACTTGGACAATCTGCAACCCTTTGTTACAGAACACTTCATTGTGTTTCCCTGTATCCTTTCTTTTCTGGCTATCATGAGCTATAGCTCCCATTGTAGATTCCAGTGGAAACAACAGAACCATATGCAGTTTGGAGGGTGGGTCATGGAAAGGGGCAGGGAATCTAGTCCCTAAAGTAGTCCTCAGGGAATGCAGCTGTCATCTGTCCTCACTCCTTAGCACCATTTCCCAGATAAAAGCAAGTGGGAGAGAGTTTCCCACCTGAAATTCAAACATGGAGAAATCATCTTGATCCCCTACCCTTTTGTTTTCACTCTATATGTGGAGATGAAATGGTTTCAAGAAAACCTGTCACCTGGTAAGTAGCATGAGAGGACTGAGGGTGGCAGAGAAGAAAGCCATTAGCAATACAAGCTGAATATGGTGAAAGGGTCTGCAGACTGGGCCCCAACTGCCTTGAAGAAGCCAGGATCACGTTCTCCAAAGCCTGGTTCAGATCCGTGGCTTTTGATACTTAATAGCTGTATGACCTTTGATGAATTAGTCTTTCTGTGCCTCCTTTGTGAAATGGTGAAGAAAAATACTAGTACCACTTCACGAGTTGTTAAAAAGATTGACAATATAAATACTGATAGGTGGAATATACAAAGTCAGACTCAATAGAAGGTGAGTCTTCTATAAACACTTTCTTCACTTTTGAGTATCCAGTGACTCACCTTAGGGTTGTCTTAAAGGTATCTCCCAGTTTTTAATATCTGAGGGCCATGGCTAATTTTATTTATTGAGGGACAAGAAAACACGTGCTAGTGTGTTTTAAAAAGGGTGCAAAGGCCTTGCTTCAAGTATCTCTCTAGTTCATTTGTCATTGATGCCTAAAGTCACAATTTTTCTTTTATAATGAGGATATCCCCTTTTAAGTGATATATCTTTAAATATAATGTGAATCAAACCCATTTCAACTTGTAGATGACAATCCTTCTGGAGTAGTGGAGGAAGAGAATTTGAAGATACTGTTTTAGGGAAAGTGGTGCCAGGTGGAAGGGAGAAGGGTACATGGGGAGGTTTTGTCTGGGGCCAATTCTGAGAAATAAATAGTAGCCAGAAATTTAGGCAAAACAAGTTTTGATCCATTATGACATTTAAATTTCCTATTGTAGGGAAACCAATAAATGACACTCCTCTTGAATTGGTAAGTTTGCCCTTTTTGTACAAAATTAAAATCACTGTAATCACCTCCCATTTTCCCCAAAGTGCTGCTTTTGACTTCCTCAGACTTTGCTGATTGGTCACTGCCTGGGTCCCATCAGAATTGTAGGCAGGAGACCCTATATGTCCCCTTGGCTAGATTTCAGAGACCATGTCTCTAACAGAACATCTATCTATCTTTGCTACAAAACTGTTGATAAAAGTTGCCTTTGAAGGCTGAAACTGTAGCTCAGTGGTAGAGCACTTGCCTAACATGCAGCCCCGGGTTCCATCCCCAGCATTGCCAAAAAAATAAAGTTGCCTTTGGCAGGTTAAAGATGGGGAGCTCCTGGGCCTGGGGTTGTGGCTCAGCAGTAGAGCGTTTGTCTAGCACATGCAGGGTGCTGGGTTTGATCCTCAGCACCCACATAAAAATAAATAAAATAAAGGTGCATTGTGTCCAAATAAAAAATATTAAGAAAAAAAAAAGATGGGGAGCACCCTTCCATGATACCCTCTTGAATGTGAGACACTCTGGAAAAGGAGGCTCACAGAAATCTGGTTCTTCCCTGAAGCTTCTAACTGAGAAGAGAGCAGCAGGAGCCTCCGTGAGGAAACGAGGACTTGTGGAAGAGCCAAGCTCCCCCAGCAGGACGGGGCTGCACAGGTCAGTGGCAGGGTCTGCGAGGCTGCCTCCTCCTAGGCAGGCTTTGCCACCTAGGCTGCAGTGGGTTCTGTTCTTGGGCAAATCACTTTCTTTTGGGGGGTTTCAATAGTACCTGCCTATTCCAGTGAGTGGGCTAAGGAAAGGAAGCGAGTTGATATTTATGATGTAATTTGAACGCATTCCCTTTCTCAGTAAAGTAGGATTGTTCTGTTCAAGATGAAGGCTGAGAGGAAATACAATTGGATCTGTAGAACTGACTTCAATGCAGTCAGTATATAACCAAAAGCTTGGTCCTCGTCCTTGACACCAATCCAATAATGAAAACAAGGTCTTGAGAAAAAGGAAAAAGAAGGTTTATTGCTTTGTTAACAAAAGAGAAACACAGGGAATTTCCTCTTCCAAAGGCTGTGATTCTGCCCATCCTCAGAAACAGAGGACTTTTAAAGAGGTGACTCAGAAAAAATGAGATTAGGGAGGAGAGATCAGGAAGGAGAAGATCAGGGAGAAGAAAATTGGGGAAAAAGAAAAAAGAACATGTAAGTTTCAAGTAAACCCCTGCTACAAGTGAATGCTTACTATGGCAGCATTATAGAAGGCCCAGTTGAAGGGCATGAAATTATGAAGTCAGAACATTATCCAAAAACAAAAAGAGAATAAAATAAAATATAATTATTCTGTTTTACTCAGTGAGCAGCAAGCTCTTAGAACCTTAAAGGTAGTCCAGAGAGAAATATAAATGCTTGCAAAAGGGTTTGTATCAATTATTAGGGTGAGTATCAATTATTAGGTGAAGTATCAATTATTACATATCACTTGTTGGTGGAATGTTGAGTACATCAGTTATGAGGTGGAATGTTGAAGTTGCTATTGTGAAGGCTACTTATGATCATTTAATTTTCAGGGATAAAAAGAGTCTGTAAGATAGTTTGGTCTTCCTTATTAGCATCCCCGAGAGGCCTGCTGGAATAGTCCAAGGTGTGGTTTGCTGCCCAGCCCACAATGCTTTCACCCGGGTTCAAAGAAAGCAGTTGCTCTTTTCCTGGGACCATGTGGGTTCCTAGAGTAGACCACAAAGGAGCTGCCCTGTGCCTTCCGGGTGTACACGTTGGAAGAGCAGAGCTAAGAGTTCCTTTCCAACCTAGGGCGATGTGAGGGTACTCGAGGGAATGAAGCTTTGCTGTGTTCCATTTGAATGAATTTTCCACAGAGATGAGGCCTCAGATTTTCCCTTTCTCTGGGTTTTGATGCTCAATCAAGTATCTCAGAATCTAAAAACCTACTGTCAGTCACATTTTCCCTTTTTCAAACCTCATATCCTTAAGTGTCTCAAATGGGATTCTACTGTGAATTAAAACAGCACCCAAAGAAAATTTGGCCACACAATTTTTCCTGCCAGCCAGGAGTGGTATAAAAATAGCCAACCTGCTGAAATATTCATTTGGGCCACATTTGCTAGAATGTGGTAATGTTGTCACTGCCAGTAACATTTTCTGGGCTTTTTCCCCCACTCAGGGCCAAGATAGGGACTTCTAGTCAAGAAAGCAGCAAAAAGAAGCCCCATATGGAAACCAGGAAGGTGAGCACCAAAATGGAGGCTTTGAGGTTCCTGGCTGCTCCTGCTCTTCTGCAGGGCAAGGTTCCCATTACTGCAGATGGAACTGACTGAGAGCATTCTCAGGTTTCACTGTCTGCAGAACACTTTCAGCTATTTCCCCCTTGCCACAACCCATCCCCAAAGTGGCTGCATAATATACATGTGGATGAATCCTTTTGTTAAAACATCTGTCTTCTCAGCTTAGAAAGCAGCTGCTTGTACTTTCCTGTTGAAGTAAGAAAATAGGTCTGTATTAAATAGAGGTGGAATCCAGTGTAGAACTTTCTCTTTAGAAAACTTTTTGCTTTCATCTACACTGGAGTCTGAGTCTGGGAATGTCTAATTTTAACAGATGAGCTAGACATTTATCAGCATTGGAAATTGGTAAGAGAAAATCTCTGAAGCAGTGATGTGCTGGCCCCTGACCATTTGGTTTGATTCTACTTATGGAGTCTGTTCCCCATTTGAATATTCATATATCTGCTTCTCCTCCATTTCAAGGCTTTTTTCTCATAATAGTCTCTAAAGTAGTGCCCATTTTTTAAAATATTATTTTTAGTTGTTGATGGACTTTATTTTATTCATTTTTTATATGCAGTGCTGAGAATCAAACCCAGTGCCTCACACATGTGAGGGAAGTACTTTACCACTGAGTACTTTACTCTAAGTACTTTAGCCACAACCCCAGCCCTAAAGCAGTGCCTTTTTACATTTCTTTCCCTCTTTAAATAGCTATTAGCTATTATACCTGCCTTATAGATCTTTCCTCTTTTCTTTTCACTTCATGTGTCCAAAGTAGCTCTGACCCTAAGTTTCCAAACACTACCAACTCATTTCCTTCACCTTCCCAGGACCTATAACATGATCAGCTATGGAGCACATGTGCATGAATTCAACGAATTTTCACTGTGTCTGCTGTGTGCCAAGTGCCAGGAATACTGTGTGCTCCCCTAAAAACACCAGCAGTGTCAGGCCAGGCGGATAGTTACTTATAGATAGGCCATGTGCAGGGGAAAAGGAAGCACAGGGTACAAAGAAAACACAAAGTGACCATGAAGGAAGGGTTTCCAGAGGAACTCAGAGGAACTGAAAGAGCTCTGGCTGAGAGGGAAGAGTGCAGGTGTTTGGTGACTGCAGCCAGCCCACCTTGAGCTTAGAACACAGGACCAGAAATGTTACTGGACAGGCCAGCAGGATCATGGAAGGCTTTGAGGTCACCTTCAAGATCACAAGAATTTCCTAAAACCTTTTTCTTTTTTTTTAAGTACTGGAGATTGCGCCCAGGGGTGCTCTATCACTAAGCTACAGCCCCAGTCCTTTTTACTTTTTGAGACTGTTTCTTGCTACATTACCCAGGCTGGCCTGAAACTTGTGATTCTCCTGTCTCAGCCTCTTGAGTAGCTGGGATTATAGATGTGCAACTCCCTAAAATATTTTTTTAATATTTTAGTTGTAGATGGACACAATATCTTTATTTTGTTTATTTATTTTTATGTGGTGCTAAGGATCGAATACAGTGGCTCACACATGCAAGGCAAGTACTCAACCACTGAGCTACAGCACCAGCCCTCCCTAAAACATTTTTAAAAGAAATTTTCTTCCTTTCTGCAGTACTGGGAATTGAACCTGGGTCTCACACTGAGCTATATACCCCCATCCTGCAATTTACATTTTTAAACCATTATTCTGTCTCCTGTTTGCAAGATGTTATATTATGTGAGCACATACAAACACATGTAAAACCTGGCTTCTTCTCTCCAGGAGTTTATAATGTGCATCTGGGAGGGTTCTAGCCCTCTGCCTCTGGGGGTCCAGGACAAGCCCCAGTTGTGCCATAGCCAAGTGGCCCACTGAGTGACTTTGGGAAGAAAGTCGCCCCCTTCTTTACCTCCTATCCTTTCTAGAGGTAAAAGGAAAAAGGAAAGAAAAAAAGAAAGAAATGGGAAAGTACAAGAAGAGTACATGAAGCTCTGGGGAACAAAGACACTTTATACAACCAAGATAATTATTATTAAAGGAACGTTTCCCTCACTCCCTACCCTTCGTACCTTCCTATTCTTAGTTTGACACATCATCTCCCTCAAGAACTGTACCCACAGCTTCTTACTCAACATAATTACCTTTTCAACCTGATTCTGGGTTTAGAAAAAAACTGAGTAAAAGAAGCATGTTTATTGATTTTGACTCAAAGCCCAAAGACAGCCTCCATCACAGACCCTGTTCCCAGGGAGAGGATTTCTCCTAAATTAAAATGATCACAGTGACTCTCAGTGTAAGTCAGTTGAGCTGGAAAAATTGAATTTGTGCCTATGTCCAATGCTTGATATTTTCTTTCCCCTCTGGGGGAAGTTAGGGTACAGGATCTCAGCCAGTGCAACCTGTGCATGCCTAAACACATTGGGAACCTGCACAGGGAGAGCTTAGCTGAATACAACAATTATCTCATGAACGGTGCTTTGGATTTGGGGAAGAATAAGCAGGAAAGGTAGATCCCTTCCCTTTGCTCCTTCAGACCCTACACCTAGAGACCCAGACGTTGGAAGGACGAAAAAAAGGTGGAAGTGGGGGTGTGGATAAACAGAAGTGAAACGGACTGGTGCTCATAGCTTATTTCCCCCTCCACTGAAGCCACTTCTCAACAGATCCAACCCTGGACATATAGAGGTTCAGTGTGCTGTTCTGCTGGAGGTCCCTGATGAAACCCTCAGTCTCCTTCAGGCTGTTTTTTCTCTATTACAACTTTGCCTGGGAAAACATCCCTCAAGATCACAAAGGAGCGCACAAAGGCGTCTGTCTTGTCCTCACAAGTCTTGTCTCCCTGGCTTGGAGCAGACTCTCCCTCTGTCCCCAGGCCTTTGCCCTCTGGTCCCTGTATCAGCCCTAATAGATGCCATTCTACTGGGGCTACTCCATATAGCAAAATTTAAGCTCCAGAGCATCGTTTCATCAAACTTGTAAGAATTATTTCCTCAAGCCAGAAACCAGAGCCAGGCCCTCTAAATCCTGTCACCACTCTGTCTAGAAAAAGTAAGAATGGTCTATGTCCTTTCTTTCTAGAGTTCCCTGTCACTTTTTGGGGAATATGACTTAGGGGCCTGCCACTGTGGACTATATTTGAGGGGTTTGTGAAGAATGTCACCTCATAAAGATCTACTGTTCTAACCTGAAGTTTATGGTTGGGATGGGGGGCCAGTCCTGCGTGTCCTGAGGTCTTCCCTGAGCCTGCCTCCCTGAGCCCATTCTGCTCTAGAATTCACAGTGGCACAGCTCAAGAACATGGGCTCTGCTGGACTCTCTCAGGCACATTCCCAAAGAAAATATATGCACCATGTTTCTGACTCTCAGGGTGTTTACTAAGAAATGCTGTGGTCCTGGAAACCAGTTGTAGAATGTCTTCTTCAGAGTGCAGAGGAATTCTTATCAGGCTGTGGCACATGGAGAAATAATAAGATTGCACTGTATTGTGCTGGCTGTTAAGGCCATCACCCTGTTTCTGCCCGGCCTGGCACTAGTCATGCTGATTGCGTTTACTCTTTATTGGTACTGTGCCCTTTACATCATGTCCCTGTCCAGAGTGCTGTGCTCTCACTGTCCAGATCCTCACCCCCAAGATGAGAATCCCGCTCATCCATGCAGGCCCCATGCAGACGTCACTCTCCCTATGAAGCCTTGACAACCACCACCCACTCTGCTCATGTCCTCCCCAGCAACCAGGCCAGTCTAGAGACTCATGGGGTAGCTTCAGCCTACTGTCTTGTGGCACATGGTTTATGGGTCAGTTTTATCTGACAGTTATTCAGTTCTCCAAGGTAATGGTAAGGTTGTCCTGGTTTCTGAAGCCTCGATGTTGTGTCAGTAATAGTGGGCACTCTCCACAGTAGGGAACAGTAAGGTAAGCCCAGCTTGGCTTGTTCTCAGCTCTTAAACTTTGTGGTTTTAGACAGACAATGGTTAGGGAGCTGAAATGAAAAAGAACAGTATTATAGCAGGGAATCTCAGACCTGCCTGGGCAGCCAGAAGCCAGGCCCCGATGCTGATGTGAAATCAGTTCATCAGAAAATAGCAAGTCAGATCACCAGCCATATAGGAGTAAAACTTAGGACTTTTCTTGGTCTTCTTTTTACCAGAACAAGGAAAGAAAACCCCAGCAGGAATGGCAGGCGAACCTAGATTCTTCTACCACTGATACCCAGGAACAGGGTAGGTTCTGGGAAGTTCATATTTACCTTCCTTTAATAATGTCCTACCCCTTCTAGTGCTCTGAGTTTGTGCACATTCTGTGCGGTGTTCCTCTCACCCTTAGAGACACGAGTGATTGTCCTCCAGGGGGACTGACTTGGAGTAACAGGATCCCCCTCCCAGCTCCCAAAGGTGTGAGGGAGGCAATAATGTGTGCTCTTCCTCTGCTCTTTTCTTTCCTTCTTTCTTTCTTTTTTTTTTTTTAAGTTATGGATGGACACAATACCTTAATTTTATTTGTTTGTTTGTTTGTTTTATGTGGTGCTGAGGATTGAACCCAGTGCCTCACACATGCTGGGCAAGTGATTTACCACTGAGCCCCAGCCCCAGACACCTTCTTCTGCTTCTGATAGTGAAGTTGCAGTTCCAAAGTGTTTCTTTTTAAAAAATTTTTTTTTAGTTGTAGATGGACAACATGCCTTTATTATATTTGTTTATTGTGGTGCTAAGGATCGAACCCAGGGCCTCTCACATGCTAGGCAAATGCTCTGCCACTGAGCCACAACCCCAGCCCCTCCAAATGTTTCAGAATAAGGTGGGAAGTGTTATGGAAAAGTTGGAAGAGATGTATTTCCTTTTTCTGTGCAACTGGAGAACCATCTTGGGGAGCTCTCTCTCCCTTCCCCCTCAAGTATTAGTATTAACACTGAGGGCACAGACGGGGGCTCTGCAAGACCTGGGAATGCATATGGAGGTATTGCCCTTCCGACTTGCTGATCGTTCACCCAGCATGATGATTCAGTGTGGACTGTAGTTATCCTAGAAGCAGGATATAACGCGAGTGAGTTACTTGGCAAGTTGTCATTCTGTGTGAAAACATACCAGCCTTGGTGGATAGCTGGGGAGTTGAGCTGGGTAAATATCTGTGGAGCCTGGCTTTGAAAATACTTCAAGGTCAGACTAGCATCTTATTGAGCTGAGATGAAATTGGAAAGGTCAGAGCAAATAATTCACCTGGCTTTAAAGAAATCCTGGCACGAGGCTGTTCTGTTTCCTAATCGCGTGAAAGTAGCCCATGGACCAATATGTTTTTCCTGCCTGAGTGTTTTCTTTACAGGTTCTAAAAAGGAACACAGTCTGCCAGGGCCAGTTGTCCCACCATTACAGCAAAACAACCCACCTCCACCTAAAGAGCTAGGAACCAGTGGCTTCTTTGAGTTTCTAAGGTAAGGAGGACTTCTTTCCTGCCATCAAACTGAGATCCAGCATCCAAGCAGTGGTCTAGCTCCAGAGCTGCCTCATTGAGTCTTTCAGGGGAAATGAGAGTAAAAACAGATGACTTGCAGAAGTGTCTCAGTGATCTCCAGGATAGATTGTGGAAATGAGATTGAGGACGTGGGCCCTAACTGGGAATTTAATACCATCTCATTCATTTTTGTGCACCTCACCCCCATTCTAATGTACTAGGAATAAGGCCTGGCTTCACAGACCTTGCTTGAATAGAGACTATTCATGTTTTACTGGGGCCATTCAGATAATACAGTTTCCAAAACATTTCTATCCTTCCCTCTGAACCTAGGTTGTCTTCAGAGTCTTTTTTGTGGAGAACAGTTAGCAAATCCCTCCCTGTCTAGGGTTCAGCCATCCCTTTGCAATTCTTTTTCCTTTATTTCCCTTCTTCGTGTAATTAATTTAGCTACCTTCTCAAATGCTGTTCTGGACCTGAATTTCCATTCAGTGGTTCCCCAGAGCAAAATGCCCTGGCTAATGAGTCATTAATGGGAACTGGGGAGAAGGGAAGGAGATCTCTAGTCTCAGCCTTCTCTGCTCTTGTTCCTGCAGCACTGTCTTCCCATTTCGATATTTCTTCAGAAAGAACAGCCAGTGAGCCTTCCAGACTCAGCAGCAGGGAGAAGCTCCTCTCTAACAGCAACCCCTCCAGAGCTGTTCCTCCTCTGACTGCATCTTAGCAACACCTCAGTTGTGGGGATGATGGCCCCTGTCTGAGTCCTCTTGTGGGTTTTTCTTGTCCTTCATCCCTTATAATTTTTTTTTCCTTAGTTAAGACATCATGGAAAAAAATGGGGCTTTCTAAAATACTATAAGAAGTTCAGTGCCCTGAGGGCCAGTGTAGGTCCTTTGCCTCCAGCACTTAGGATCCTAATGCCAATAAATTATTCATGAAGAGCTATTGATTGCATTTGGTGAAGCTGATTAAGAGAACAAACTTCTCTCAAGATACAGAGAAGCAAAGCATGAAACTTGCCCTGGACCCCTGCTGCTGGCTACAGGATGAGGTTGGATGGAGGAGTCTTACCTGATTCCAAACCTTAAGCTCCACTGCCAGGGGTTAGGGAATGAGGTTGTGCAAAACTCACTATCTGGAACCCTACTGCCCCCAAAGAAAGGATCTCTTTCCCAACTAAGTTTGGCCCCAAGGAATAGCCTCTCCACAGATAAAACGCTTCCCACCTGTCTATCCCTGTGGTGCCTTGTTGTTAGCACAAATTAATTTATCAGATTAATTGGAAGCCAGTCCAGGTAGGGCTCCTGGTAAAGGCAAGGCTACACATACACTGTCTTCAACCAACTGGCCAGTCTGGGACAGTTTAGACTTGGGTGACCTCAGAGAACCAAAACAACTGATGGAAATCTAAGGAAACTCATTTTAGCTCAAAACAAAAGAGTCACTTTTTAACTCTTAGAGATGTCTAGTATGACAGGGCTGGGGATGTGGCTCCATGGTTGAGTGCCCCCGAGTTCAATCCCCAGTACCACAAAAAAAGAAAGAAAAGTGGGGGGGGTCCAGTATGAGAATGGGCTACCTTGTGAGGTAATGAGCCCTTTCACCTGGAGTCATTAGACAGCTAATTATCTGTCACATGCCTGAGAGTTGCTACACTGTGTGGGAAAGTAGGAGCATAGGAGCAGGACTGTTGAGGTCCCTCCATGTCCCCTTGCTTGGCTACCCCTAACATCGGTGGGGAGAAAAGAAGAGGTAGGTTGCTGTGGGAGGGAGGGCCCAGAACTCGAGCAGAGGTGGCACTGGATAGAGTGGGGACTTGAGGGTCAGCAACACTGATAACACCAGCTCCTTTCAGATTGTATTTGCAGCCCTTGCCTTACTGTCCCAAACATGGCCTCCTTGACAGAGCTACAAAGGGTACAGCTCCAAGATCTGGAGATCTGAATGCCCATCATGACCTGGACTAGCAGACAGTGTGGCCTTGGGGACATTCTCACTTGGAAAATGAGAGGGTGGGATTTGATGAGTTCTTAGGGGCCATCTAGCTTTGGCAGTCTGTGTGACCTGCCTGCTCTTTCTGAGTAGGTCACTGAGGCAATGGCCCTGACTGGGGCTTCCCAGAACCACCACAGCCTTCCTTTTGGTCTCTGTCCTGCCCCAATCTCTGGCTCCTGCTAACTAGGGTATTTCCCCCCCAACTTGCCACATTCTTGCCCTAAGTTTATTTTAGCACTATTGGATAGTACAGCAGAAAACTTGGGTTCTAAATCAGCCTGGACATTAACATTAGCTGTGTGACTTTTAGTAAGTAACTTCCCTTTTCTGAGCCTTAGAAACCTTGTCTGTAAAACCAGAGCTGGACTCAAATAATCAGATTTCCTGGGATTAACTGCCTCAGGCTCTAGGGTCTAGAGAGCCCTCTACCCCAAGCTCTGCTCTGTAGCTGGCTCACAGGGTGGAAGACATCCGCTGACACTGGAAGGGAGGCTCTGAAGGGGACTCAGTAGACCCAGCCCCCATGGCTCTGCCTGCCACCAAGCCCAGCTCCAGAGCCCCCCACTGGAGTTTCACTTGTCCATAAGAATCTCCTGCAATCTCTTTCCTTTGTAATCAGTAAAAGAAATGGGCAGGGCTTGTTTTAGGAGTTTTTTAGGCTAGAGTAGTGTCCTGACCAAATTCACACAGCAGAGAGGACACAAGTGACCACAACTCAACTGAGTCTTGAGCCCTCTCCCCGGGTGCACATGCTGCACCCTCCCCCAGCTCCTGGGCTCTTCTCCACACCTTACTTCGCCCAGCCCTGGACCTCAGAGCAAGGATCTCCCAGGTGGACTGCTCCAAGGGCTCAGGCCAGGAGGCGCCTGAAAGCTGATCTCCAAGAGGGCGTGGCTCTGAAACAGGCAAATAAAAGCCTAGAGAATTGGCACCAGACTCCAGAGCAGCAGGAGGCGCCCAGAGCCTGCAAGGAGCAGTTCCTGGCCTGCGCTGGTGAGCTTGCCGAGGCAGGAGGAGCTCCAGAGGGCGGGAGATGCAGGCAAGGGCCCTGCAGGCCAAGAAGGGGCAGGTGGAGGGAGGAAGATGTTTGCAGTCCAGATGGTGAGATGATTCCAGCGCAGAATCACTGCAGAAGGCTGGAGGATGGACACACAAGTCCCATCCAGAGTGACCCACGCAGGGAGGCAGAGAGAAAAGACAGCCCCCCCAGGCATGTCTCACCTGTCAGAAAGACCAGCCAGCTCCGGCTCACTTACCTGCAGGCAGGAGCTATTTAAAGAACTCTCTCTCTCCCACCTGCACACCCCCTTAGAGACTTCCACCCACTGTGCTTCAGGTGCCCATGGCGTCCCCCCAAGCCCTGCTCATCTGCCTGCTGGTCCTGGCAGTCACTGAAGGCTGGGATCAGGAGGCAGCCATCCCAGGTTGCCACTTGCACCGTGAGTAACTCCGGGACCAGAGAGCTAGGAGTGGAAGTTCTGGGTGGGAGCAGAGCTGACAGAGTGGACGTGGGCAGGCAGCACCCTAGAGGGATGCCCAGGGAGGCACAGATAGAGTGCTGGGGCTCGCCTTCCCAGAGGCACAGTCCACTGCTCCGTTTCCTCTCAGCCTTCAACGTGACAGTGCGCAGTGACCGCCAAGGCACCTGCCAGGGCTCCCATGTGGCACAGGCCTGCGTGGGCCACTGTGAATCCAGTGCCTTCCCTTCCCGGTACTCTGTGCTGGCGGCCAGTGGCTATCGACACAACATCACCTCCGTCTCCCAGTGCTGCACCATCAGCAGCTTGAAGAAGGTGAGGGGTGCTGGGGAGGTGGAGACAGAGGAGGTGGGGTCCAAGGTGGCCCGGAGGGTCCAGAACGTGGCTGGCTCCCCTCCACCACAGGTAAAGGTGCAGCTGCAGTGTGTGGGGGACCGGAGGCGGGAGCTCGAGATCTTCACGGCCAGGGCCTGCCAGTGTGACATGTGTCGCCTCTCTCGCTTCTAGTCACTGGAAGAAGTTCCCATCCTGCTAGTGACTTGCTATCGAATTTTTTTAAATGAGGAGCTGCTCCAGCTTTAACCCTCCTGAGTTTGTGATGTCACCTCCCGAGAAGAGGGGTATTTTTGCCTCTGCCTCGTCCCTGCCTGTCCCCCTTAACCAGTCCTCGTCATGCCCCACCCCTAAATAAAGCAAGCAGTTGTTCAGTTTCTCTCTTTATTACGTCTACCCCCAGCCAGGGGAAGGAGGATAGACCATGGTTACTGTGACCCCCTTACCCCAGGACACTGTGAATCTCTTTTTGCCTGTGCCCTCGCCCCTCCCCCTGCCCAATAAATAAAAAGGGGACAAAGAAGTACAGGGCAAGGGACAGGAGGGAAGGAGGATGCCCCAGGGCCAGGACAGTGCCTGTGTTGAGGGTGCACAGGGCAGAATAAATAGATCATGGACCCCATGGTGGAGACGAGGAAGGACCTCATGCCGGCCCAGGGCAAGGGCAGGCGAGGCGCCCAGTGCCCTTGTCCTAGACTGGGGGCAGAGCTGTATCCCCTGCAGCCTGAAGCCCTGCATTGCTGAGCAGGGGAATGTCCCTGATGGCAGCTTCCCAGCCAAGCTTGCCCTGGTCAAGTCTTGCCAAGAGGGCCTGAGAGTTCTGCTGCCAAGACCACCATCTTGTCCTCTTGTCCCCCAGTGAAAACTGCCCACACAGGGCTGGGCAGGGAGTCCTCAGAGCCCACTCTGGCAAGGCCAGGGGTAGGTGTGTGCCTCTCTGGGCCCCTGGGCAGGAAAAGGGATGGAGGGACTGACAGCTCTGGTCTGGGTTTAGCTTCTCCCCTTTTGGGGCCTCTCTAGCTCTGACCCCCACTGGCAGCCACCTGGGGTGTAAGCCGTTGGAGAGGGGCCTCCCTGGCCCCCTGGGTCCCCTGTAGCCGGCGTAGCCGCAGCTCCTCCAAGCCTTGCCATAGCTCCTGCCGCTCCCGGGCCTTCTGCTGCTCCCTGGGGAGAGAGGATAAGGCAGCTCCCCCTACGAGGCCCCCACCCTCCATCCTCCACCCTGCCCTGCAAAACGGGGTGGGGGGGCACAGAATCATATTCTGTCCTTTAACTCTAGAGGAACCCTCTGCTTAGGAAAGAGCTGAGGAGAGAACACGCCCAGCCTGTGGTCTAGGAGTTGCAGGGCGTCAGAGCAGGAAGAATAGCTGGACGGCGCAGCGGGCAGCAGTGCAGGGACAAGAGGGAGGGACTTGGAACTTCTGACCACACTGGGTTGGGGGTCTTCTGCCGACCTCAGGGTCCAACCCGAGGGTCAGATTCCTTCCTGCTTTTCTCCCCCTCCCCCATGCCCAGTGCCCAGCACTCACTGCTGCTTCTCCAGCTTGTAGGAGGCCGTGAGCTCATCAAATAGCTTCCCATTCATCTCCATGAAGGTCTTGAGCACATTGTAGATCAGAGACACGATGGTTCTTGGTGTGGTCAAGGATGGGGGTTGAGATGATTACAACACCAATTTGACCCACTTCCCTGCCTGGCATTCTGCCTATCCTGTTCCCCACCCAGCACCCTGCTTCTCTGCCCATGCACCACCACCCCCTCGGCCATCCTCCGCCACTGTCTCTGATCTTCTCCAGCTAGGAACAGCCCCAGAGGCCGGGTTGGCTGTGTTCCCAGTGTTTAAGGGTGAAGTCAAAGCCTAGGCACTCACTGATTCCAGTGCTCCTTGGAGACTTGGTAGAGGGTCCCAAACACAGCAGGCAGCACAGTGTGGCAGTTGTCCTCAATGAGGCTCAGGATATACTCATTGTTCCAGAAATACAGAGCCCGCTCTGCAACCTGAGGCAGGCAAAGTGGTACAGAGAATGCCTGGTAGTGGCTTCTGCGTGGCAAGGACGGGCATCCATCCCTCCCTAAAGCCTAAGCCGCTTGACCTCCACAATCCCCAACTCCAAGGGCTCATTTGATCCACTGGGGGAAACAATGTGGTGAAGAGAGAAAAACACACAGCACCACGTTTGGGATCAACTCCCAGGCAAATCCTCACTGACAAGACTCCAGGCCACCCACAGGACCCTGGGAGGAATCCAGTCTCCACCTCGGTTGTCTGATCTATAAAATGGAGCTATGATACCTACCTTCACTGGACTATTGTAAGAACGAAATGAAATACCAGACTGTTTATTGAAGGTAAGCTACTGGAGTCACTGTAGGAAGAAGTGACGTCCATAGGGTTAGGGTTCATAAAAATGAGAGAAGACTGGAGACGTAGATCAGTGGCCAGAGCACCTGCCTAGCTTGTGCTAGGCCCTGGGTTTCATCCTAGCACCATGGGGAAAAATTAAAAAGACTGGAAGAGATTCTATATACATGCAGAAGAGCAAGAGTTACAATAGGTGCGATAATGAGGGAAACCTGGCTGGGTTCTTAAGTGGGACTAATAAAATATAAGGGGATGAAGCCTGTAATCCCAGTGACTTGGGAGGCTGATATAGGAGGATTGCAAGTTCAAGACTAGCCTTAGCAACTTAGTAAGATCCTGTCTCAAAACAAAAATTCAAAAAGGAGGAGGATGTAGCTCAGTGGTACAGTACTCTTGGTTTCAATCTCGAATCAGAAACAAACACAACCAACAAAAATACTAAGGCCACTAAGATCAATGATAATACTCCATCCTGTTCTGGCTCAGTTTATCATGTTACAGTCATGATCTCTCTGATCCTCATTGCTACCCAGTGAAGAAACTGTTGTTGGCCCATTTTACAGATGAGGAAACCTAAATCAGATTCACAGTGGGAGGTGATATGCCCAAAGGCTCTGCAGCCAGGAGAAGGAGATCTGAGGTTTGACCCTACATCTTCCGACCCTAAACCCAGCATCTCCCTATTATCAGACCCAAGACTGGAGGAGAAACTGAGGGGAGAGGGAACTATGTCAGGTAAATGGGCCAACCTTTCCAGACTACAGCACTGCCTCCACCCCACCTGTCCCTGCCCCATACCTGGAAATGGGGGCTGGATACACAGCGAGCCACCTGCTTGAAGAGGGGCTCCTGGATCTTCACGAACTGGGAGGGCTCGATGACATCAAGAATCTCTTCCATCTCCCCCAGAAACATCACCTGAGGGGACAGAGTGGCAATAGCTCACATCTCCCCAGACACGCACACACCTACCTGCCTCTGCGAGCTGGCCCCCAACCTCCCTTTGGTGGGCATCAAAGCCCTTCTTCATACCTCTTTCTGGGTGCAGGTTTTGGGCCAGTATTTGAGCAGCCCCCGGATCACCTGTGGGGGTTGAGGCAGAAGAAAGTCAGACCTGCAGAGTGAGGGGCCCACCTTCCCCCAGAGGAACTCACGTGCTCTGTCAAGGTGGCATCCTTCTCCAGGAACTGCACCACACAGTATGCCAGCTGCGGGCGTGGGGGGAGAGGGAGGAAGCCAGAGGTCATCTGGGGCCAGGTACCACCGCCGGGCGCCCATCAGGTGCTCACCCACCCACTGCCTCTCGCTCTGCTGGCCCAGCACTGCCAGCCTGCCCCGGCGGTACCCGCCAGGGAGCTGGGAATGCACGATGACCTCACAGGGGAAACGCTCGGCAAACCAACCCTTATAAATTTTGCAAAAGATTCCATAATAGAGCTGCGCATCGCAATCTTTGGGCTTATGGAGGGAGGAGAGTTTCACTGAGCTGAGAGCAGGTAGAGGGAAGGCCTGGGGGGGCTTCAGAGCTGAAGTCTGAGGTCGGCCTTAAAGGGCCAGTGGCAACTCCCTGAAGTGGAAAGAATTAGTGAAGACAACCAAGGTGAGATAGGATCCCACCAGTGTCAGGCCACTTCCTGGTCCTGTGGGCAGCCCTGACTCTGTCAGAAGTTCTGTTGAGGCAGGGCCAAGCCTGGGCCTCACCTGGGCGTGAAAGACAGACAGTGACTTGACGGAGTGCAGGGGGATCAGG